GATTTGAATCTAATCTCGATTACAAGTATGATATTAACTCAACATTTTTCATTTTTTTTGTAATAAATGATTTCAAGAAAGATCTCACCTGTTTTTCCGGCGAGTTTGCGTCTTAAACTGATCAAAAAACACGTATTGAGAAGAAACCACACAGCTTACACCAGACTACGGCAAGCCTCCACTTCGGCTGCTTGAGTAGCCAACAGAGACTCACTAACACTCTTTACCACAGCATCCAAAACTGCTTTCTTGAAATATTCATCCTCCATTTTCATTAGAATCTCTTTCACCATCTCAAAATCTGATGCTTGGGCCATAACTAAACTCCCAAGAATCTCCCCAAAGTTGTTTGGGGCTTTGGGCAGATCGATCCCAATGTCATCGAGCATAGACCCGTAAAGCAGACAACCGTTCCCTATGTCTTTCGGAGTTAGAACGTTTTTAGAGACCAAATGTTTCAAGAGTTTTGCCACTGGTTCAACACACGTTGGGTTTTTCTCCAAGCCGAGGGAGATAGCTTCCTTGACAAGCTCGGGATGGTATGACGGGGATTTCAGTTCCTCTACGCATTGCAATGCCTCGTCCAGTAGACGGACATTGAAATATTCCTCCAAAAGCGAGTTGGTTTTTTTACTGAGCTCTCCTGTGTTCAAGCTACTAGTTATCGGAGGAGCTGCCTGTTGTGGCAGTGGTTGTGGCTTTTCCACAGTTGGTCTAGTCAGGGTAGGAACAGGTTTAGGCGGTTCAGCACCATTACCTTGCAAAAGGGCACTTGGTCTACCATTCAAGAGACCTCCACTGCCCTGAGGTAGCAGTCTTGAGTTAACCGACAGTGACTTGTTGATGATAACAGGAGACTGAACACGCCCTGCGGGCTGCGGATTCTGCCTGTTGCCTCTGGGCATGGAGCGAGAGCGTGCCATCTCCCAGCCATCATCATCGGTTGCAGGCATCCCTGGCATCTTCCTAGCCCCTGGCATCCCAGGCATCATTCCTCCAGTTCCAGAACGTCCCAGGAAATTTCCAGAGCCAAGAATTTCAGATGCATCGGCATCACCACCACCACGACTGTTATTATTTCTCATATTCGCCATTGCACCAGGGCGCAACCCGAGATTCTTTTCTGCCTCAGAATGAATCTCAGTGATTTTCTTGGCTTTCATCTATCAAATTTACACAGCAAAGACAAAACATAAGCACAGACAGATAACTTCCTAAGTAGTTAAAAATAAGAACGGGTACTATAAATTCCTACCTCCTCACGCCTTGGTACCCATTTGTTAGCTCGCAGATCAATAACATTACGGACCATAAACCTCATGCGTGGAGCTAGCATCGGGTGCATTGCTAGTTCCTTCATACGTTGGAAATACATATCGTTTATACCTCGTGATTTTTGGCTCTCATCTAGTTGTTTCCCGATGGTGATGAAAAATTGACAAAGAGCCTCTACATCTTCCTCTGCTGGGCAAGCTTTATTGTCATGTCCTAAAAGCTCCTGTGACCAGACACATAGTTACCATGAGCTCTACAGAGAAGTATTACATCCAATAAACATTTAACTGTACAAAAGCAGAGCGCGAGTCATACTTGGACGATGTGATGAACTATCTTCTCGGGCACCATCTTCTGCTTCAGAAGTTCACCAATTAAACGGATATTTCCTAACGTTCGAAGCTTCGCCATTCTTTCCTTGTCCCTGCGTTCCATTTCTTGCATTGGGTCCGTCATCAGTTTGACCTCTTCCTTCAACTTGTCAGCGCCTTCAAATGCTTCTTGGCAATTATTCAAAAGCACTCTTTTAAATGTTATTTCTTTCCCACCGTCTTCCTCTGATGGGAACGAAGGGAGCCTCCCATTTATGTCACAGCACAAAAGAGCATACATCTGACAAAATGTGGGCTCTAGTACTGCCTTCTCAAAAATAAGGTGTATCACTCCCTGAAATGAAAGATAAGAACAACTCATGTCATGAAGAGAGAACGAAAAACAAGCAAAATGCACATGGAATTTGGAATACCTTTAGGATATCTGCAGAAGTGATCCCAGAGTCCATTAATTGACCTTTTAGGAGATCGTACTTCTCAGGAGTCATCTTGTTCAGAATACTGCAAAGAAGCAAAATTATACGATTCAGTGAACTATATAAAGCAAATTACCCCAAACACTCATTATAGTCATGACGAATACAATACCCTTTAACGGTCTTGAGGACTTGGTCCTTTTCTGAAAGAGTTCCTCTTCTAGCTGACCATGGGACCTCTGCTTTCACCAGGGCAGGAGGAGGGCCAGACTGTTTCAGAAAGTTATAATGTTAGCTACTACAAGCAATAACCACCCAAACGCAAAACTAAGGTATTGTCAAAATAAAGTGCCTAAATGGTAAACACTAACCCTTGGGAATGATGCAGTATGTGCATCTCTAGGTTCACGTTGGTCTTCCCTTGACCCTTCTTTACTTGGGGAAGAAATCGGTGCACGACTATGCCAATCACGGGTATCAGGGTCTGAGAAACGATTTTGAGGTTGACTTGCAGGCTGAAAAGAGCAAACGAAAAGGAGAATATAAAAATTTCTGAAACTACTAACATAGTGAACTCGTCAAGCATTTACAAAACTCATTTCTTGGTTTTTC